CTTATACGATTCAGTGACATATCAAATAAAACAATAGTAAGTTATACATTAACTTCGAACAAATTATAAAAAATTAATTAACTTTCTGATAAAATGTTTTTTTTACTAAAGGTAGATTAACTTATGAAGCATCTTATATTTATTCAAATCTTAGATATAAAATGAACAATTTTTAACTCAAAATAATTTCAAATTATCATAATTTTGACAATTTTTTCCAAAATTCTAATTTTAGACGCTCATAAAATATTATTGTAGATTTCACTCAATTTTTTTTTTAAATTTCCATTAACAACTTATTAGAGACCTTGTATTCAATTTAAAAGAGTTTTGACCGAGCAAAAGTTTTAAAAAAAACTAATCAAAATCAAAATTGTCTTATGCCTAAAAATAGTTCATAACGAATTAAAATATTTTGAAAACTTTTTAATGTATAGAAAATGATAAAATAAATACATGGGTTACACCATAAACCAAAATCAAATTTGTCAAAAACTGGTTTTTCCTAGAAATATCAGTTCTTTCTTAAATTCCTTTTCTATTAATAATGGCTGGTACCTACCTATAAATTTTAGTGTAAGTACGTATAATATTATCTTATGAAACACAGTATTTTACCTGCTGATTATTCCATTTCTGTAGTCAGGTATTCTTATATATTCATATTTTTGTTTTGGCTGTTTCGTATTGTAGTGTCTTTTGGAATATCAGTGGAATAATATTAGGTAGGTACAATGTTTTAAGTTATATGCACGCATCCGTCTATATTTCTGTTTTTTAAACTCTTAGCCATTTCATAATTGGCGGAATTTATTCCTTTATAAATGCCTTGGTTGAACAACAAATGAAATGGCTCGCATGCGTTGGTTGTTCGCCCTGCATTATATTGTTATTATGATGACATCGTCTGATCGTCACCCAATAAATCTGTCGGTAGAATTACCCATTCGGCATTCCCATAATTTTCTAAAAAGCAAAATGTAATTGGAACTAACACCTCATAATTAAAATAATTATTTATTAATTGTTATAAGCTGTGATTTAGTAGATTTTGTGTAGCCATGTAGCCGTACTCCTTGAACACTCAATTTTAAATCGTCACAGTGGTATCATTAAACCATTATCAATGTACTGTGATAAGTGTTATCTCAGTATGTGCAAGGTGGACCAAATAAATAATAATTCCTAATCCACCTTTCAAATGATATTAATATAATATAAAATATATACGTATAATTAGTATATATAATTTATTAGTCCTTCTTCAATTTTATATCGTATTTTCGACTTGTCCGCGGGTACAAGGTAAATATAACGTGTCTTGTCGATATAACCAATTCCGAATTATTTTGCATCTGAACGTTTCTCGCGAGTCGGGTATATCTGGTGTCCGAATAAATTTCACTTCACATCACTCAACTATGGTATTCTCTAAATGGAACAGCCCAACGTTTCAAGCAGAACTTATCAGCTGCTAGACATGTCAGACTCTGGCAGCAGTTCGTCCGCGCACATTCCGCCGTTGATATTAACTTCACCGAGGAAGAAGAGATACAGAAAGTAAGTACAATTAATGGCCAGTTGTTAACTGCTGGCCACAGAGTCAGTATTGGTTGTAATTTTTTCTTGATTTATTCCTCCATTCTAGATTTGGTAACAATAGAGACAAGTTCGTTGAAAAAGTAACATTTGAAAAATGTCGCCTACAGTCGCGCACAGTATGTGTGTTTTTTGTTCTGTCAGTCCTCATTGTCTGGTTGCTGACAATGAGTTGGTTCATCAATGCTTTACAAAACGAATTGGACAAATTCAACCATACCATTATTACAAGTAAGACTTCCAAATTGTTTTTTTCAATATTGCAATTTGTTTCTTCAAACCACTGATTTATCACTGATGGTCTTACTTACTACAATATATTTTTTCTGATCATATGAAATTATTATGGATTTCTCTTAACACATAATACTTTTATTATTTATACATTATTGTATCCAATGAAAAAACTTTTAACTAGTTTCATTTTTAAATCGTAAACAATTTTGTGTAGGTAGTTACATAATTAAGATAAAAATAGATATAACTCGGTACCTAGATAGTTGTTAATAATTTAATACCTGCTAATCACTATAATTGTTGGTCTTGTGATTTCTGACAGTCATTATTTTGTTTAACCTTGTATAGAATATAAAAACAGAATTCAATAATAAAATCATTGACAACAAAATTTAGTATATTTGTTACTTCATTGTAATTTGTATTAAGATTGAAACAAAATGAATGAATAGTTTATGACTTTCTATATTGATAATAAGTAAATTAAACTTGTATACAATTATTAAATCGCCATGTGCATTGTGAAAACTATATAAACGAGATGAGTTTATTTTTTAAACTTTATTTATTTAACTATCCAAAAAATTGCAGAATTTCATTTTTAAAATGAATAAAATTTATCCTAATGTAAATCGTTTCAATTAATATGATGAAGTCTAGAATGTATTTGTATGTCATGGAAATTATTACACATTATTTAAATTTTGTAAAATTGTATGTAAATTATTATGGTTTAAAAATAATATTAAAAAATAAAAATAAAAATGCTTGTTATTAGATATATTTTGATATTAATAGTTGATAAAAGTGGTTTTAATAAGTACCAATACTAGCAATTTTAATTAAGTTAAAATTACTAGCCATAAAATAATAACCATAATATTAATAATGTATGTATAATGGTAATTTTTTTATGATTTATATTTAAGTAGCTATAATATATATTTAAGAGGATGTCAGTGCATTATTTGTTTTCTCTCTCTGGAACATCGAAAATGTACGTTTATCAGAACTGACATTCTGTTATTACTTTTAATATTAGAGTGAATTCAACTATTATGAAACTTTAAGTTAAGAACACTACCTGTGTCCCTACGGTGGCTATTTTATGACATTTTTTATTTTTATGTAAGATTATAAATGTGTAAATCATTACAATTTAAAAATCTAAATATTTAATTAAGATTTTTTAGATTTAATAGTTAAAGAGTAATGTAGGTCAGAACAATTTTGATTGTTTTAAAAAAAAAAATTTAATTTAGCTGTGATGAAATACTGTTGTTAAAGTCAGTTGTTGACAACAGCCTCCTGCGTTTGTCGCGCAGTTATTTCATAACATTATCACTATCTATCTTATTAGTTATTGCATAACAAACATTAAAAAATATCAACTCTTTACTGCATTATATTTTAATGTATTTTCATACAAACAATTATTATCATGTTGGTGGTTTTGAATATACTAGGTCATTCAAATTTTGCGTAATATCTGTTATTTTTTGTAAACAGAATACATTGAAAAATATTTTATTTTATGTAGCATACAGAAGTTGCAGAGCATAAATAATGTAGCGGTGAAAAGGTTAAGCCACATTCCCATGACTGTTATACTTGGCCAATATTAAGTATTCGTGGTTACTTGCTATGCCATTTAAACGGTATATTTGTACAATTATTAGTAACTAATCCTCTTCTCTATAATTTTCGGTAAATATGACACAAGTTAAAGGACTAGCCAATATACTAATAGATATTCTTGACAATTATACTAGTCATCAGAACACTATACACAAATTACTTGCTCATTTAAATACTGCCGTACAATGTATTTGGTAATTTATACTAGTCGTGGGGAACCTGCTTAAAGATTTAATTTTTATCTAGCCACAATAAATTAATCGTAAAATAATTATTTCTCGTTATTCAAGTAAAATGATAAAAAACACAATGTGTAGTTGTACTTAACTACTTTGTTTTCTGTATAGTTTAGATGCAATTTATTTTATATTTGTATAATGTCTTGTTACTTGCTATCAAATAAAGTTTTTTTTCTCTGAAATTAAAAAAAACTTATCTATAAGCACAAACGAAAATATATCTTAGTGGTTCAAATGGTTCAAAAAATATCATCTATAATCTGTAACAACAAATGATTTCTGTAAATCCAGGATGTATATAATAATAATCTTTATTAACGGAAATAAATATCTATTTAAAATGTATAGCAACAGTCATTGTGCACAATTTATTGGTGTCTTAATTAAATTAAATTATAAATTATAACATATAAATATAACAAATCAAAAAAGGTAAATTACATAAAAATACGATTAACATTATAAATTATAATATATTTAGATGATGAATGATTGTTTATGTGACTATGAACCATTAATTATTTCAAAAAATAATTATGTTTTTGAAAAAAAAAAATGTACATGATCTCTAGTCGTTGAAAAATAACATTTAAAAAATAATTTATATTTTTGATATGTTTTATCCTTATTATGTTTTTAAGTTTTTTAGTGTTATGAATGACAAAATAAAGTTGTTATTTCATTTTTCAAAGCAGAATATTGTTCTAAGTAGATATTTCTATAAATAAATATTGAATTTAGGACCAGAAGTTTATGAGTTATAACTTTATTTATAAGCATTTAAAGTTTAGATGAGCGGAGTAGTGGACCAACATTTTGCAGGGTAACCAATTGCGTACCACTCCACTCTGTTCATCTATACTTTAAATACCTACTTATGATTCATAAAGTACTATAGTCCTAAATTCGATTTTTCAGAATAGAAATACTCAGAAACATATTCCGCTTTCTAAGATGAAATAAAAACTGTACGTTGTCATTTAAAAAAATTTAAAATTTAAAGGATAAAAATATAAATTTTAAAAAAAAACGTTATTTTGTAACATCTTGAAACCATGTGAGAAAAATATTTTTTAAAAAGTTGATACTTTTTGAAATAACCAGTAACGTTAAATTAATCACCCGTTATAACTCTATAGATTATATTGTTTGTAATGAAAACTTGCAAAAGAAATTAACCTGTTTAATCACTTTAATAATCATTACACGGGGAAAAATAAATGAATAGTTCATCAGTAAGTATATTTTTCAAATAGTATAATACTATAATGATTTTTCTCTTTAGTTTATATGGACTAATACAATAATATAAATCGTATAGTTTTAGTCACGGTTTAAGACATACGCGTATCTTAAATTGTGGTTTTAGTAAATCTACGTCATTTATATGGTTATAAAGAAAATGGAAAAGTCGCTCGACGAAAAACATCTTTTTAATCATGCCCACCACCCCGCGTCTAACCTTCTTGTCAGAGATACGATCTAACGCCGACGATAAAGTATCGTTCCGAACTTAAAGTGGCTGTGAGGTGTGTAGGGTTCGCTCTGCAGGGTTGAAACTCGGGGCCGTCAATAAACGTTTTATAGACCAACAACGCCGTGTAAAAACGTATATTTTATAGTCATAACTATATTATAATCACGAAATTGACTGATAAACCAATATAAGGTACCTCTATAATGATGCCACGGCCAAGATATTTTATTTTACGACGACAAAATGAATTTTAAAAAGCAGTTTTGGGATAGGAAATACGTACATGCCCAGACGGGCCCGTTACGCCACTGGCGGCGGCGGCAAATTACAGACTATTGATCAGACCGCGTGCACATATTGCTCCACCCACACCCCATCAGCGGCGGCGGCGGCAGCTCAATTGTCTAAGTTTTAGCCATCGCTGCTGCAGACTGCAGTCGGCGGAACACGCGACCGCGAGAGACTCTATATAAATATTATTACACCGCCATTGATACAGTAATCTATTACAACAATATAATATAATCACAATGTTGAGCAGAATCTACCTATAGTCAGCTATTCGTGTAAAGCGTACGCTTCAGTCGCGGGACACCAAACTACCCCTGTACTTACCCGCAGCATTCACCTACTGTATTTACTTGCTCATCAAATCCAACCACCGCGTAACATTATCGTCTACCTCCATTCGCCTAGCTCCCCAAAACTGACGCTTCGTCGTCATGCCTGTGGCAGATGAGCAGTGACGTGAGCAGGCGATTTTCGTCGGCCGTCGGCGGCGGCGGCGGCGGTGGTGGTGGCTGCAAGAAAATGCGGAAACGGAAGGAACTGGACGCGCTAACCGGATGCACGGTGGTCGGCGTCAACAGGAACCGTAGGCTGATGACGTGCTCGTCCGACTCGGACTCTTGTTCGTCGTCTCGGGCGCCGCCCACGCCCATAAAGCTCCGGCGGCAGATCACACGCAGGCGGAAACGGACGTTCGTCGCCGACACCTGGTGCAGCGCCCTGAGGATGTTCCTGACGTTTGGCTGTGTTGTGTGGGTCGTGTTCGAGACGTACACGTTCCTCGACGTGCGCAAGATTCAAGCGCACTTGCAATCGCAACTCGATGAAGGTGTGTGACGGGGTGCAGTCGTGTCCGGGGTGGGGGTTGTTATTTTTGGCGAACAGACCGACTCCGCGTGGTCCATCGCGTAGAGCTGATGATGGTGATCATATTATGCCCAGTAACATTATTATCCTGTCGAGTGTGTAGAGAGCTTAAATATGAAGTATGAGTCGTCAGTTGAATGAGGACACCGTTGATCCTAAGACATACCCATACAGTGTAATGTGTACACTGTACATGTATGTGCTTTTATTATTTTTCTAAACATAAATAATTTTTTTGTCCAGTTGCTGCTGGCAATCGTGGAGTTCCAGATGACCTTCAGAAATGTCATGCCATGTCCAAACAACTTCAACAAAACCAGACCGATATCAATCAACGTCTAACAGTGTATGACGGACAGATCACAAACTTAACGCTTCAGGTGAGTTTTATTTTCTTGATTCTTGTTACCAGATTACAGAGCATATTGTAATTGCTGTTATAATAATTATTAATTTATAGATTACAATAAAATACACTGTCACTTATCACTGTACAAATTATAGAGTGTTAAATAAATTTTTATATTTTACCTCATGCCATTCTGATTGAAAAAATGTTTTATTTCATGTTACTTAATTTAAATTATAGGTTGCTAATTTGGGTTCAAGGTTATCGCTAGTTGAGAAAAAAATCAATGAGAACACAGACCTTTTATCAAATCCAGATGCCACAAAAGACCCATCCATAAAAGTCCTATCATCAGAAGTTGCTAAACTTGGTAGTACTTATCAAGACTTAAGTGGCAGTGTAAAATCGCTCAAAGATACTACTAGTTCATTGCAGTCATACCAAACAACATTGAAAGCAAACATTACTTCAATAAGTGTATGCAATAGCAAAAAGTTTTTTAAATATTTAAATAGAATTATTTATAAATTTTATTTTTATCAAATAGGAAAAATTAAATAATGTCGGCAGTATTAAAACTGATGAAACTATGATCAACAATGTGTCTGGAAAGTTGCATGAACTAATTGAAAATTTAGGTTTGAATGTCACAACGTTAAACCGTACTCTTACCAGCCGAATCGATTGGTTATCTGGAGATCAAAAAACTAATGGGGTAAGAAATATTATTATAAAGATGATCTCTTACATTTTATGAGATTGTTTTATAATCTTAGGCTGGTTTAATACATATATAATATATTTTTTAGGCAGAAATAGAGAAATTGAAAGAGGACAGTCAGAAATTAAACGCTCAAGTGAAAACAATTGACACTAAATTAACGACATCATTTAATGAAGTGAACTCAAAAGTAAGGTATCAAGTAATAATTATAAATGATAACTACACTAATATTTTTATTATTTTGTAGGTTATATCTCTTAGAACTCAAATTGACAAGATTGCAACTAATGTTACCAGTTTACATGCTCAATCAAATTCCGATGACTCTCTTACGAGTTCAGGTCAATTAAAAGGTAAAGTTTGCTTAACTTAAACAAGCTATATTATATGTATATATTGCTAGTACTAGTAAATAGTACTATAGTACGGCCAGCAAAACTATGCTGGTGATTTTAGCGTCCCCAGTGGTGTTTTTTCAGTAGGGCTATCCACACTATTATAGAATTGTTCTGCCCCTATAGTTTGATAATTTTTCAAAAAAATGCTGCTCTTGTAAATAGTATTGTTAATAACGCCATGGGCTTATGGCTACATTGCCTGCCTATGCCTTAAACCAGCCCTATATGTATCTATTTACGAATTTACTAAAATAATTATTTTCCTGAAGTGGATGTCATTCACCAGTAATGATACAATATTGTACAAAATTGTAGTAATAAATAAAGTTGTATGTATATTATAATTTGTATAAATAATCATGTATATTAATAAATATACAAATTTAATACTCTAAACTAATCATAAAATATAGACATCAAGATTATGATAAAAATTAGGGATAGGTTCTTGAACCAGAATTTTAACGTTTGAAAAATTTGAATAAGTTCTAAGTACAAGTTTGGATTGACTTTGTGAATATTTAAGTTGAATCCATCCTTAATTAAAATATACCAATGTCTATTAAAAAATATTCAATGTATAAGAAAAATGTTATTTTATAATAAGTATACATATATTGAAAAATATTTAGCCTTGTGCGAAGTGGACAAAACTAATCATCCATATTAGGTTAGAAATAATATATCATTCACTATAAAGATACTTTTTTAAAGTGGAGATATGATTCATGAAAATAACAATTTCACTAGATGTATGTGAGGTAATGACATATTATATACTCTAGTGTTTTTTACCAAATATATATTATTGATTTAATTTAATATGATATAAACATTGGATTCATTTTTTATTTGTTTAAATTTAATCAACCACATTTTTATACAATTTTTAATTTTTGTTAAACTAAGCTGTAACACCTGTAACGAGTAAAACACTTGTAAAATGTGTATGTAGTAGAGATAGCTATAGAACTAGAAGAATAGACAAACATTTTGAAAAACAATACTTCATGTAAACCAATATCCAATATGTATAATAATATATATTTGGAAGTATAACATTGACTTAATGTAAATAAATGTATTGGAATAAATTGTTATTCAGTATGTTCATGATTGATAAGTATAATAAAGTTATACAAATATTAAAATATCAAAGTATCAATTTTTCTGAGTTGTTTACTACCATAGTTCTTAATAATGAAGGAGCTCTAGATCAGGGTAAAAAGTTACAGCAGGCAGTTATAAGAAAGAAGCCAACATTTTTAGTGTACCAGACTTTTATTGTGAGAATTTCATCATTAACATCCCATGGTCTTATAATTATGATGATGGTCAACTAACCACTTACTTAAAATTATTTAAAACTTTACACTATCTTAAGTTCTATCAGTATTAATTAAACATTATAAATTTATGTATAAAGTGTACCTGTTTGAGTGATAATTTAAATATGTTTTTTATAAATACACACCTCTTAATATGTTATTAGTTATTAGTGAAATGTATGAAAATCAATATTAAGTATTAACATGTTATTTTTTATTTTCAGGTGATAAAAATGGAACTCAGACAAAATCCTAATATTAGTATTTTTTGTGTTATATTGAATGTGCACAATGTTGTTGAATAATTTTGTTTTATTTTTTTTTCTTAAAATAATAGTTAAAATGTTTATGTTTGTATTTGATTTAATGAGTCTTGTTTTGGTATGAATTTGTTTGATTTAAAAATTAAAAATAATGTACCTCTAAATAATCTTTTTAATCTATTTGATGGACTGTTTGATAGTAATATTTATAATTCCTATTAAATATTTAAATCAAAATTTGTAAAAAAAAATCATTTTAACTGAGATATTATGAACTTTATACATTTGAGAGCAATGTTGTTTTTTTGCCGATCATATTGTACTCTTTTTCTAGTATATACATTTGAAAATTATTACAATAAAAAAAAAATTATTTTTCTATATTCATTTAGATTAATTTTGTCTAAACTTGTGAACTTAAATTATTGTCTTATAAACAAGTGTAAAATTACAATACCGTAGGCTGTAACATATATTTAAATAAATAAATTACACTTTATGTAGGTACAGTTATAGCTGCAATAAATTATTCAAATCATATGACAATTTCAAATTACTTTTATCAACATTTTGTTAGAACTACATAATTAGTACATATGTACTACAATATATTCAGACACGTATACGGGTAGGTTTGGGAGTTTAACCTCCCCCCCCTGAAAATTCATAGTGTAATTTATTTATATCAACCATTGATAACTACATTAACTGGTCAGTGACAATTTTTTATGCCCCCCCCCCCCCAAAAAAAAAAAAAAATTTATGTACGTGCCTGAATATGCTTATACCTACTCAATTTTATTATAGTATCTAATTACTATTATTCAGTAGGCAAATTGTTTTTTTTTTTAACTATCGAGTGATATGTTAACAATTATACCAGTATATTATAGTGAAATCAAAAAATAAATAATAGATAGTATTTTATGAAGTTTTAATTTCTAAAACTTGCAATACATCATTTGTAAAAAGAAAAATACTTGAAGCACAATTTTATATTATACAAGTGTTTTCATAAGCCAACATTGAATTGGTATTTATTCAACATTAATATTTAATTTGATATAATGTTGTTTATTGTATTGTTGCCCTGAATTCAGTTTACAAACATAGTTTGTTTAAAGCCCACACACTCCTCTTATTATTTAATACCATAAAACTCCCCAAAATATTAATCAATACCCTAATAATATCTAGTATTAAACAAAATTAAAAAATATGCAAGCCTGGGCATAAACGCGTTAAAAAGTTAAAAGTTAAGTTAAAAGTTGAGTTAATTTTAACTTTTAACTTAACTTTTTAAAATTTAATTTTCATTAACTTAATTTTTAACTTAACTTATTTTAATTGATATAAACTTAATAAATAACGAGTTTCCTGCAGTGGTTCATCGGGCAGATCAGGTATAAGTGTGCATATAATTGAATTTTCGCACATTGCCTGCCAAAGTGGCTGAGTTACACTTATAGCCGCTCATCGGCGTGTCCGTAATCAAAATAAATATAAAACATTATTTCAATAATACACAGCAGGTAGGCATAATATACTGCTCGCCTTATCACCATCAAGTCTCAAATAGAGTTGGCATTTTTAACAGGCATTCATTGTACCTACTTAATTTATTATTTTAGTCATGCTAAATAATTTTTTTTTAATTTTTTTAATAATATACACAATAATTATTCTAGTATTATTGGAGTATTGTTTTGATCAGCCTTTGGTGTTCGTAGCAATATTGTTTTGTTGGTTGCTACAAAAAAGAACGTAATATGAAAAAAAAATTATAGGGATCCATTCTTATATTTGTAAAATATGATACTTAAATATGCAGAATAATATTAATACCACACTAAATTATTGACCTTTTCCAAGTTCCGACCGCAGATAATAGATAGGTTTGAAAAAACAGAAGAATATATTCACCGCTCAAAAGTAATAAATAACTACAATATCAAAGTATTTTTTCTACTTCAAATCATGTACACATACAAGAAAAAAAACTCACGTCCTTGTTAAATAAATATATTCATTCCGTTCCGTCCTGCAGCTTCTAAAATACTACCAGAAGTATTAGTTATTATTTTATTATTATTCTACAGCTATAAAACTATAGTACAAATACAAATCGAAGTACCGATCTTCGTTAAAATATAGTGTAGGCGCCTACGCGTCTTAGGGTGTAAAAACAACTATAATATGTTTGGAAAAATAAGCGTGCCCGAAATCCCAACGCCGGCCGCTATAAGAACGACGACTCGCTGGCTAGTTATAAACGACGTCGGACGCGTCGTCAGGGGGATATTTTAATTTTTCGTCGACTATTTAAGGAGAGATTGTTATTTTGATTCACTTGCAAATTTTGTCTCCGACATCACTGATCGCAAAACTAGTAATTCACTGCCAAAAAACACCAAACTAAACATCATGAACGCAGAAATCGAAACGATCGTCGACGAAATCTACGCCGATATAATGGCCATCTATGACATATTGATGAGGGACGAAGGCACCGGGGATAACACCAACCTCGGAGAACAACAGCCAGGATCAGATACGACCAGCCTATCAGTAGAAACCGGCCCTACCATACAAACGGATGAGAACGTCATATTATGCGATTCGATCGACGCACTTGAAGTAGACGACACGACCGACGACGTAGTCATGCAGCCCGAAGTGGAGTCCATAGACGAGGTAGTGTCGTCTGTTCTAGACGGGATCGTCGAGGCGTTGAGCGAAGATATGAGTTTGGAATTCGCCTGCGGTGACAATGTGCCGCATCTCCCCGAAGCGCCCGGATCGTCCGGGCGAGATGCGACACCGAACGTCGGACCGGACGAGCAGGACGCTGCAGATAAAATAGTTGACGAGTTAACAGTGTTAGTGGAAGACGTGCCGGCCGAGGCCGATACAAAAGTGGAGGAGTCGGGTGAACAGGAGCATCCGCCATCAGAACAGAAACGTTGCAAACTTCCGGGCGGTCGATCACGGAGGATCGTCGCCACCGCCTGGAAGGGAGTGAGACGGATGACACGTCTCCTGATGTGCGGTTGCTTCCGAGGGGAGTAACCGGCCGGAGTTCACGGCTCCCTCCTCCTCGGCCGAGGAGCGCCACGCAAGACACACGTAGGGGATTGGCGCGGGAAAGTGCACTCGGTAAAAGGCGGTATGTCGCCCGAGTACGTCCCACGGCCACACGCGGCGCGAAGAGTTAGCGGTTGTCGGCGTCGCTTGTTGGCGAGACCACCTGGCGACTCGGCGCGGGCCCGGCTGCTTCGGCCGCCCTTGCAGTGACGCACGACGACACGGCGCGGCGGCTAGTTGTATACCGACGTGGGCACCGATTCCGCCCCGACGGTACTTCGACGATGGCAGAGCGTGCACGAGGGCTAGTTGTGGCGGCGGCGGCGGAGACTTTATGGCACAAGGCTGAGTGATAGAGCTATGTTAGGAATTGGAAGTCGCAGCATCGCCGGACCCGCGGGAATTCGATTATGAGTTTCAGGGTACGGCGGTGCGAGACTTCCAGCGTCGGTTCCGCAGCAATCACAGCTGTATTCGCTCGCCCAGTGCTTTTGTCTCCGCAGTCGTCGTCGCGACAGTCGTCCTCAGCACCTGCTGTCAATCGTCGAGCGCATAACATCGCGCCACTAGCCGCCCCGCCGCCAATCGTCCAGTCGCTTGAGCGGTCGTTGTGGTCGGGCCCAAACCAGTCGTCTGGGTGATCGTCTCTGCGAACAAACGCGTCGGCGACTGCGCTCGTCCGCCCGCGGGACCGGTCGTGTGGACGTATGGAGGTGACCAGTGGCCATTCAGTACAAACCAACCTCGCCATCCCGCGTCAATCCCCTCCCTATAAAGCTTTTTGGTGTCTTGCCTGGTGTTTTTTTTTTTGTAGTTTATAAGTTAACTATTACCTGCGCCTTTGGCATTTTTTTTTTGAGGTAATAGATTAAAATTTTTTTTCGTTTTTTTTTCTTAATAAATTTAAAATGGCCATTTTTTTTTTCTTCAAAAATGACCACATTGTGTCGAAAATTATTATGATAAATTATATAAAAAAAATTTTTTTTCAAAATTTACACTTAGTGTCATGTTGCATATTTTCGGCTTTAAAATAAAAATATTGTTATTACTAAATACTAACCAAGATATTGTTTTTTTTTCTTAATAAATTTAAAATGGCCATTTTTTTTTTGTTCTAAACAATTTTTTTTCTTCAAAAATGACCACATTGTGTCGAAAATTATTATGATAAATCATATAAAAAAAATTTTTTTTCAAAATTTACACTGTGTCATGTTGCATATTTTCGGCTTTAAAATAAAAATACTGTTATTACTAAACAAGATATTGTTTTTTTTTTCGTACTAAGAGGGAAGCATTTGTATTTTAACAAAATAATATAGGCTTTGATGAATATCTTATACATGCTTGTCGGCTCGTGTGAAGATGTGTAATGAAAATTATAATTCATAAACTTGCAAGTACCCACGGATAATATTTTTAAATTACAACAAAATAACTAAAATTGTTATTTTTCATTCAAATACATCAAATTTCGTTCAAATACCTATGAACTTGAAATATCTATCAAAATAAAAACTGGGTTCGTGAATATTTTGGTTATACCATGAATTACTTATGAAAAACCTAGTTTTTCAAATTGAACATTGCACACATTTTGAACCACAAAATGATTTGCAAATTTTCGTGATTTTCATAAATATTGTCAAAATTTTAGTTTTTTATATGCTTCAAAGAAAAAAAAACCTTGTAGAGTAAAATCTATAATATTTTTAAACTTATATTAGGTATAACAATTCATAGACAACTCACAACTTAACATTAAACCTTCAAGTTTCTTATATTAACAGCAGTTAAAAAAAACATATAGGTAATAACTGAAAAAGAGTTAAAATTGTATGGTGCATGTATAGTAATAATTTATTACACTTGAAGAAAACCAAGAAAATAGACCAAACATTAAAAATTTTAAATTATAACCCATCATTATCCAATTATGCAAGTACAACTAGGTAAACAAAATACGTTTAATAATAACAATGAATGTTTTTTATATTAACTGATTAATAAATTATGAATATTTTTTTTTCGCTGGTAATCACCACATGGAAGCCAAACTATTTTCACATAACTTAGCCTCCCAAATAAATTATAAATCTACCACCACCCCTCTTCAACTCACACTAAATTATTTTTAACAGCACTGCAATGGTGTCAATGGACAATGTTTACTATGTTAGGGCCTATACTATTGTAAGATTAACAACTTACTTAAGTAAATGTTAAGCCCCCCAATAAAAATATGTCATTAATATCTAATAAATAAATAATAAAAAATTTAAATTTGAACAATTATTACTAGATAAAATTATTTTTTAATGATTTATTTATACGAATCTAATTTATTATTAATATTTCATCTGATGTTATATTACTATAATACTATGGTCTATGGAGTGTAACTATTTTGAATTATAAATTAAATTTATGATTTAATTATTAGATTATCTTTGGAATAAAAATTAAAAAAAACACATTTTAAAATTACCATTGAGTAATGATACAAACAATTAAAAGGTGATGAAATATCATATATAAATAAAATATGTCTACTCTTTGATTAAAAAAATTAATTTGAAAACTAATAATCAAGCTTTAAGATATTTTTAAATATTATATAGAAGCTTAAAATAATATTCTGGAAATTGTCATTAAAATTTAATTTCCATCTAGTAAAATACTGTTTCATAAATTATTGATTAATTTAATTAACCAAGTATCACTAATTTCTAAGTTTTAAGTAAATATACATAGAAATCATATGATTACATACCTTTTGTTTAGAGCATTTTTTAATTATATGCGCCGCAGTCCACAGCAGTAGAATGACGTCGCTGTCGACCGCCGTAATTGTGGGACCAATATTTCGGACGGCAACACGTTACATACTATATGAAACTCAACAACATAACAAAATACAAAAATAAAATTCTCCCAAAAAATTATCTCAGATGACCATTTTATTTAAATAGATAAGATAAAAAGATAATTAGAATTATTTTTATCTAGATAATGTACAACACAGTTACAGAGTACCTAATTACTTATGAAAATATGTGATACTTCATTTTGTAATTATATAATTGTATAATGTTATTCAAATTTCAAGGTGACGTTCAGTTGAACTTGGAGCTGTGGCCTGTGGTCAGTGGTCACGGAGTTCTTATTTATTTTGTTCACTTGTCTTCGAATTTTGCCAACCAATTCTGAATGAGCCTTGTGTGGTTTTGTTATTAACAATGGTATCAAATAAATGCAATTATTAATTTCAAGTTAAGTTAATTTATAAATAATTAAATTATAAATAAAATTATTATTGAAATCTGATCCATATTGTATATATATTTACTACCTAGAATAGTAAAATATGAAATAAAATTTAATTCTCCTTCCATTAATCAGAATTGTTCAATAAAAATAACTTAATTAATTATATATAGGTATACCTCTATACCTCGGCATACGGGCATGGGTAGTGTAAAAATAACAATATTAAATAGTAAATACTAATAACTAATAAGTAATAACAACGAATATACATATATATGTAAATATAAGATTTTAAGATTCCTTTCCCCCTAATTTTTTTATTTTTCATTTTCTTCTAAATAATAAAATATTTAGCCGATATTCTTATAAAGAAAAACTAAATGTACCTACTTATAATGTGAAACAAATTCAAATTCAAATTGATATTAATGTAAAATAAGAAGTAGGTATTCACATTTTTATTCCAAAAAAATCTAATGAACTAGTGAGTAAACAAACGGCGCGAAGCAATCGACAACGGAATTATTAAAAAGCAAAGTAGGTAATACAAAGAGTAAAATAATTATTATAAATATTATAGTTATTTACATAATTATTAATTTTTTTTTAATGTTTTTTTGTTATAGCTATTTTAATAACCATTATATACAGTAACTTGTGTTAAACATTAACATCATTTTTATTCTTAATTACTTATTGGAGGGAATTGGAAAATAGAAGAAAATGGTCAACATTATTATTTATTTTTTCGAAGGAAAATATTGTGTCAGCTTAGGATAACGATAAACGGTATCTTATTTTGGAGGAAAACGGCTACGGTCGTTTAACCACAGAATAGATTAAATATCTATTATGTAGAGTAACTCTATTAACCATGAAAATTAGAGGCAAGGTGTATTCATTTATTTATTTAATACCACCTTGATTAGAGGATTATAATTTTCATTTCTTTATTATCTATGATTATAATATTTTATTTCTCATTTTTAACGGTCTTTGATCGTAAATTATCATTTGATAATACTTATCTTTTATGTTTTATCATAAGTAAACAATCCAAGCATAAAAAAATATAAGTAACAGACAGTGTTAGTTTGCACTCTGTAGTCAGTAGTCTGTGTAACAGATTCGTGTGTTAACAATAATTGTAATTTATATATTTTAAAGTATAACCGGTGTTATTGAATAACTAATAATTAACTATATAGCATAATGATTATGTTATAATATAGTATAATATATCATGTAAGCATCATCTCATTTTTTGTAAAAACTCTGTAAATCACTTAGTTAATTGTTTAATTATGCAGAGATGTTTTTGATACTATGATTAGTATTTTGTAATCGAATTGCAGTATAAAATAGCAATATGACTACTAACAGTATGACGGCGGAAACTGGTCTCAATCAAATACTCAACGAAATAGCGGTAAATCACTTCATACTTTTGTAATAGCATGTAACATGTCACCAGCCCATTGATACTCAGTTAAAGCCAACCATTATTATGATATTTACAGTTATTAGTGCCTTGTAATTTTGGAATTTTTGGGTACCTACTAGGTAGTTCATTATACTGGGAACCAAGTATGTGTAAACTTTATTGCCCCGTCACTCAGGTTTGTTACTTGTTACAAACCACAATAATAAATATATTGGTATAAACATACCAAAAAATAAATAGTAATAATAATAAAAATTTAGTTTATTATAAGTGATAGTTGTTAATTGGGTTATTCATTTTTTAACAAGTATAGTAAAAGTATATACCTATCTAAGTAGGTACCTATATCAGCGATAATTAATTTATTAATTTGTGCTAATAATAATGATATTTAAAAAAAAAAAGTATATATTATAATGATTTATTAGTATAAATTAGAGTTTCATCAAAAAACAATACACGAACAAAAACCTATAAAGACCCACAGTAGTTATTATTAAACCATTTGATATTGTATCGGTTTGATCATTGGTTTTTAAATAACCCATATTATTTGATAAATACCTATGGTAGGTACCTAGATGTAAATATACATCTAATTTCTCACAAATGTCAAAATCATATTTATATGAATAACTGTATATACTTATATAATTTAAGTTATGTTTATCATTTTAGAAAGTTGACGAATTGGTTGAAGCATTCAATGGATATATTCAAAAAGATTCTTTAAAGAACTGTGAGCAAATTGAGAAGTTATTCACAATGCTTACAAATATAATCATCCGGTTGAATGATGAACAATTAAGCATGAGCATTAAAATTATATTAAAAATTGCTTCTACACAAACAGTTAGTGTGCGCCAAAAAGTTTTTCTCCATATGCTTCAAAAATTAGTTCAAAAACATGGTGTCTCTTCAAGGTTTGTATAATTTTATTTGATTAACATAGGAATAAGGTACTATGTACCTATTTAGTGCAATGATATTCTAATTGATAAATGTCTAATGAACAACATCTTTACAATTAAGGTTATACTCTAAGCATAGAGGTGAATTTTTGGTTTTTCTTTAACTATTGTTTATTGTCTTGTTTAGACAAACTGGATGCACTTTATCGATAATAGTACTTATATTTTGTTTTGTTTACTATAGGTTGATGTGTGAATGTATTATTAATTCTGAATACCTCGTACATACAAATTCTGAATTCTGGATAGAGTGTTTTCATATAATTAAAAGTATATTAGCTACAGTTGACTATAAAGGCGTTAGAGAAATAATGAAGGTAAAAATAATGTAACTCACTTAGTGAAAATTGTATTAAATCTACTTATGTCTTTATAACATATAGAGTTGCTTTGATAAAGTGGTTGCAATGCCTAAAGCATTACCTGCCTCTATATTGCCCCAGTTTATTGCACTTGAAGAAGTCATACGATATATATTCGATAGAGAATCTTGTCTCCTTCCTGGTTATTTTGTTATTAATGAAATACTTAAAGTATACAGCGAAAACAAGGGATGGCCTCATTGGGTAAACTACCTTCTATTATATTTGACAATTATGTTTATGTTACTTCTGTGCATTTTTTTTTGCTTACAGAAACTTGGTTGTTTGGTATCAAACTTTGTGGAGAGCTTTCGGGGTGCTGCACAAATGACATCAATGATTGGTCATTCTTCTATGTTACCTGTAGTAGAGCATTCTGGTTATGGCGATCACTTAATCACTCCATGGAAATTAGATCCAAATACATTAAAGCTGACCTTAAAAGGAAACATACCTTACCCTAAACAACTGTTACAGCCACAGACAAAATTATTAAGATATGTACTTGAACAGCCTTATTCTAGAGATATGGTTTGTTCCATGCTTGGTCTACAGAAAATGGTAATTATTAAAATCATATTTGCTATTTTGAATTAATTATTTTATAGTCTTTAAATTAATATGTTTTTGTTCTATTATATAACTTACGAAGTTAGATAGGTATTTTTAATAAGTCAAAATATTGAATTTTCAAGCAAGAGGCTCTGAAGATTGGCTCAGAATCAATTTTTGTTGTTATAGCGTATTGATTTTTTGTTAGAATATAAAATGTTGACTGATTTTTTAGATGATAAATATTTACCATGTAATATTATTCTTTTAAAATAAATCTGTTAGTAAATTCTGGGCAAATGAAATCCATCAATTTTGATTCAAATAGATGGAACATTTTCTATCTGATTCAAATCATTTTTGGTTAATACCTGTGCATATTTTAGCACTAGTATTTTCAACAGGTTTAACAGCATCAAACTAAACTTAAGACTATGTGTATTATTCTTAATATTAAATAGTATTCTAAGTCAGATATCTTATACACGGTAATCATAGATTAAAAAAACCTTCATGTCAACTATGTTATTCATTTCATTCCAATATAATTGTATTCAGTACATTAATCTTTTTTAGAATAAACAAAGGTGTATAGTATTGGAAGAACAATTGGTAGAATTAATAATTAGATCAATGGAAAAAAGTGATAAAGAAGTGACAGAAGGTGCAGATCCAGAAGAAAACCATTGGTTGTGGTTACATATATCAAGTCAATTAATTTATTTTATATTATTCCAATTTGCTGTATTCCCAAATGTTGTCAATGCTCTTCATGAAAAAGTATAATAATATTTTCCCTCTAAATTTTAATTTTACTTTCTTAAGTTTTCTTTACTGATGATTTTTAATTTGAACTATAGTTGTTAAAAAAAGATTTACATAGATCAAGAGATCGTTTGATGTGGGTACTTTTACAATACATATCAGGAAGTATTCAACGAAATTCAGTAAGTATTTATAGTTTAAATACTCTAAGTATAGAATATTATTTATCTACATGAATGGTTTTGTTTATTTTAGCTTGAAAATATTTTGCCAGTATTGAAATTGTATGACTTATTGTACCCTGAAAAAGAACCATTACCTGTTCCTGACACCAGTAATGCACTTTGCACTCATCAAATGGCCATTACTTGCATTTGGATTCATTTATTACGTAAAGCTCTTATGGACAACATTAAATTTCATAGACCAATACCATTAGCTTTAAAAGCACATCACGAGTAAGATAGACCAGTTAAGTTATATTGTTAACATTTTAATCATTTGATTTTATTTTGTTCAGTTATTTACAGATGCTGGTACAGCCTTCAAATAGTGCTTTGTGTATGGGTACTGATTACCGTGTACCATTATTGTGTAATGCCTTTTCTACAAATAATGAATGTTTATCCCGTCCAATGGCTGCTCTTGTAGATGCTGTGTTAGGGAGTAGTAGTAATCGAGGTATATCTGGTGTAACATCAAACGCACAGCAGTCGACTCAGTCACCGGTAATTACACCTGCGGTAGGTGGAACATCTCCAGTAGCTTCGGTACCAGGATCTGGTGGCACTACTAGTCCAATTAGTGGGAATGCTTCTTCTTCCAATGCAATGGGTCCAACTACACCACTCAGTATGGCTGTTTTAGATTCGTTGACAATTCATGCAAAAATGAGTTTAATTCATAGTATAGTGACTCATGTACTGAAATTGGCGCAGTCCAAATCCAATTTAGCATTGGCACCTGCGCTTGCAGAAACATATAGCAGACTTTTAGTTTACACTGAAATAGAATCATTGGGAATCAAAGGATTCATAAGTTAGTAACTATGTGTTTAAGATAAATAAAAATAAATATGGTAATTACACATCATATCATTATATTGTGATGGTTGGTCACAATATTTAAATATTCTTTGTCTTTAAATTAAGTCCTCTCTTAACAAAATGTGAAATGATTTATATGAAATATATATTTTGCCCAAAAAACACTGTTTATTATTGAGTTATAAAATATGTTTGAAGTAATCTAAAATGATGACATTATTTTTATTAAATGTAAATTATAGGTCAAGTATTACCTACAGTTTTTAAATCACATGCATGGGGAATTCTATACACTCTGTTAGAGATGTTCAGTTACAGAATGCATCACATTCAGCCACATTATAGAGTTCAGCTCCTTTCTCATTTACACAGTTTGGCTGCAGTACCTCAAACTAATCAAACTCAACTCCATTTATGGTAAATGTTCACTTGTTATTAAATATATATTATATTACTTCATAACAAATATATTTGTATAGTTAATACATTATGTATATAATTCTTGTGTAATTATATATTATTATATATGCTTAGCGTGGAAAGCACTGCATTGAGACTGATTACTGGCCTTGGGAGTAATGAAGTGCAACCACAATTATCTCGATTTTTAAGTGAACCAAAAACTTTGGTATCAGCTGAATGTGAAGAACTCAATCGTGCTCTTGTCTTAACATTAGCTAGATCCATGCATATTACAGGCACATCAGCAAGCCAAGAAGGGTCTTGGTGCAAAGAGTTATTGACTACAATCATGGCCAATACACCACATACTTGGGCTCCACATACATTACAATGTTTTCCTCCTGCACTTGCAGATTTCTTTGTCCATAATCCGATTACTAAAGAAAACAAACAGCAACTAAAAGTATGCTGATTAAAATTATTGTTAACTATTTAAATACATAAATAAATATTTATTTTTAGAAAGCAGTGGAAGAAGAGTATCGGAATTGGGCCTCAATGACAAATGAAAATGATATAATTGCACATTTTTCTGTACCTACTGCTCATCCACTATTCTTATGTCTTCTATGGAAAATGATTATAGAGACCGACAGAATCAATCCAATTGCTTATAAGTAAGTGTGATAAAATAAACATTTTCATTTTATAATTATGAAATTGAGATTAAAAATCCAACACTAAACTTTTTTATTTATTGTGTGAACTGTCTACGCACAATCACAAGCTCGTGGTAAACTCATAATATGAAGAAGTGCAGCTAATTCTATTTATACTATAGTTATTTAAATAACATACTACTTATTACTTTTACATCATTACTTGTTTTTGCTCAATGTATTTAGTAGGTATTCTCTATCTAACCGCCATGAAAAGTATATTATAAATCATATTTTAGGATATTGGAGCGAATCGGTGCTCGAGCTTTATCTGCACACCTTCGCAAGTTTTGTGATTACTTGGTATTCAAATTTGCGGTGTCAGAAGAAGGGCAACATGTTAACAAATGTGTTGATGCTATCAATAGCATGATTTGGAAGTACAACATTGTTACAATTGATCGCCTTGTTCTTTGCCTCGTAAGTTTTCAAATAAATATCCAAATAGTATTAAATTCAATCATAAGTTTGATAACATAAAATAAAATCTTAATCAATTATTGAATTGCAGGCACTTCGTACACAAGAGGGCAGTGAAGCTCAAGTGTGTTTTTTTATTATACAGCTACTTTTATTTAAAGGGGCTGAGTTCAGAGCTCGAGTGTGTGAATTTGTTAAAGAAAACTCACCTGAACATTGGAAACAGTCTAATTGGTAATGACATTTCCAAAAAAAATTGTTGTACTTGTAAAACCTACTTTAAATTGAATTATTAATTATTGTATAGGCATGAAAAACATTTAGCATTTCATAGAAAATATCCTGAAAAATTTGCCCCTGAAGGAATTTTGGATCCTGCATCTTATCAGCCTTTACCAGTGTATTTCGGAAATGTTTGCCTTAGATTTTTACCGGTAATGTTGAAATAATTATGTGTAGACATTAGACTGAACAATTATGTACATTTAAAATAATGTTCTACATATTACTGCTTATATTCCTAGTTCTTACATTTATTATTTTACATAGGTTTTCGACATAGTTATTCATAGATATCTTGAATTACCACCAGTAACTAAGTCATTAGAAACACTCTTGGATCATTTGGGATGCTTGTATAAGTTCCATGGTATCTAATATATATTTTTTTAAAGTTGTATTACTAATAATTATATACAGGATGGAAAAAATGTGTTTAGAGTAAAAAATAAAAAAATTTAAACAAAATACAAATTAAAAAATATTTTCAATACCTGTATGAACCATAATTTTATGGCAGTTTAATATATTAAAATAGTAGTAAAAATACAAAATAAAATATTTCACTAACTTTTATCTTATCAAGTGTTAAAGTAAATCTGTAAATCAATTTATATGTTATAACTTAATACTGAATTCTCGGTGGTTTTAATATTTTTAACTTTTTCATGAACATTTTCTTAATTTAAAAAAATGATCATTTACATTAATTTTACTTGGACCACCGATGCTTATACAGTTATTATCACTTTCTTTCCACCTTGTACATTTTTATACTTAACTATTATAAATGCATTTCTAATACTTATAATTTACTAATCATTTATTTAGATCGCCCTGTCACATATTTGTACAACACGTTGCATTACTATGAATCCAAGTTACGTGATCGACCATCATTAAAACGTAAACTTGTATACGCGGTACTTGGGTCACTTTGTGAAACACGTGGCTGCTGGACACTGTCTGAATCGTATCAAAGGTACAACATACAGACACCAGCATCCACGAATGCCAATTCAATGGGTACTAGTACCGATGTCACGGTTACTCCTTCAGCTCCTATATGGGTGCCTGACCTAGAGTATTATGTTATGCTGGTCAAACGAATTACGGACAGTATCCTTTTATTTTGTTTGAGTACAATTTCAACAATTTTGGTATATAAATTGTGTGTTTTCAACAATATTTCTATACAATTTCTCAATAATACAAATTTTACTCTACAATATTTATTGTTAAAATAATAGTACATTAAAATATAATGTTTCTTGTAGGACTAACAGTAGTCAAGAGACTAAAATAAAAAAAAATATAAATAGTAAATATTAATAGTCTATAAATAGTCTTAGGCTCTAAATTACCAATTTTCTTTAACTTTTTCTAAAGCCATGAATGGAAATGTGAAGTTTCCAAACATAGACTGGAGATTTAATGAATTCCCGAATCCTGCTGTTTACGCGCTATACATGACATGTGCAGAACTCATGGCTTTACCACTAGCTCCAGCTTCAGTGGCTAATTCTTTACTTGATGTTGTGATGCAAAGGTAACTTTCATTATTATAATTAATTAAATTTAGTAAAATTTATAATAATTGTGACATTTGTGTATAGGTATACTGAAATTCCATCTCATGAAATACATTGCTGGATAAACAGTATTGGTCTTATAATGTCTGCCATGCCAGAACCATTCTGGGTGACATTACAAGACCGAATAATGCAAATGATGCAAAGCCCTGGTTTGGCCACATGGCAGTACGCACACACGCCATTCCAATTATTTAATTTTGATCTCGCTCATGGATGTATGCTTGACAACCGATTTATTTACATGTTGGCCTTAGCTCACGCCACATGGCATCATGCTGGCGTTGGACACATCGCTTCTATACCACTGTGAGTCAAAACTAAATTCTGTACCACGAGAGAACGCATACAAAGGCCAACTAAGACTTTTTCTCTTTCACGATTACTTTCACCTTTACTAAACAGTCTCGTGCACTAGCATCTTCCTCAAACAAGTTATGCTCTATCAGAGCTTGCCGCATGGGTTCCCCTTTGGTGCTGTAGAAGAAATAACCTCTAGACATTGGAGCGCAATCATTTGGATGCGCAAGCCGTATGTGTTCTCTCGTGTAGTTGTAGTTATTGTTATTCAAATGTCATTCACTATACCTTTGACATTTCTGTAGGTTTGTAAAAGAAAAACTGGGTACCTCTGTGTACAGTGAAGAACAATTTATATTTTTATGTCATTTGGTCGCACCATTCTTATCTCGTTATAATCTTGATAAGCCATCGCCATCTATAGTAGACATCACTGTGGAACTATTTAATGCTTTGGAAAGAATGGACAAGCATGTTCAGACTTTACGTTACATGGACCCAATCTGCGATCTATTGTATCCTTTTTAAAAAAAATGTTTAACTTTTGATTTTGCAGGACAAATACTCTGCAATTTTAAGTTTCCTTAATAAATTAATTTAGATATCACATAAAATATCAGTATGTGGGAAATTTAATGAAATCTGAAGTAGAAGGGATTGTGTACCGGCTTAGACTACCCTTACAAAAGAAATTGAGGTTTATTACACAATTAAGTTTAGCTGAAGTCGAGGCAATGAATCAACCAAGTGCAGATCCTGTAGTTGTGATCACGAATGGTACAAATGGCACTGCGATGCCTCAAAATACTAATGCTACTTCTGTACCACAGTAATTGGTTGAACTTCATAATTAATTACTTTTTACTGTACTATATTATAAATTATTTATACAATACAATACAAGTATAGTTTTTTTTTTTAATGTTATAATTTTATTACAATAGATAAATTATAAAAACATGGTCCTATAATAATTATAGAGAAATTCATATTGTAAAAATAAAAATTTTTTTTAAGTTTTTCTAGAAAAGAAATATGTACAATTATTGTTTACCATATGGTTAAAATTGTATTCAATACATTTATTCTAATTATAAGTAATACCCAAATTATGTAATAAGACTGATGCCAAATTAATTAAAAAGTTTGTAACTCTTATGTCAAGTTGCATACAAAAATGATTAATGGTTCACTTAAATTTAATAAACCAATCATGGGCTACTAAATGATGTTTTAAAGACCATTAACGCACTATTGATTCATTTAATGTTCAGTGATTGTTTAGACAACCTGGCAATAGACTACACAATTATGTATGTTTGATAATATTTTTCAAGCTAAATTATAATGTATCACTAAAACTCATTACCTGAAAAAGTATTCACCAACTATTTCATAATAATTTAAGAAACAGTGAGGAAAAATGAAACAATTAATTTCCCAAAACATGTATTTTTATTTATTTATTAAAATTGACTTTAGTAACAAGACCAGCTGCTATAGTAGTACCACCAGATCGTAACATCACTCTACCCAATTGTCTGATGTCTGAATATACCTCTACACAAATTGGCCTTGATAGATTTATTTTGATAAGAGCATGTGTATTTTTCTTTATCATTCGAGGATTCTTCTTGATGACTTCACCAGTACTTTTATTTAGTTCTGCTAAAAGTCTACTAACAACCGCAGATTCTGATGAACTTTGATAGTGCAATACAACCTGATGCCCGCGAACTATAGGGAAGTCGACATTAAATACAACCACACGTGCTTCTAATACCGATGTTACTGGTATTGGAAGTGAAATGTCACACAAAACGCAACCGGAGTAAATAGTTTGAGCATCATAACCAGTAAGGGAAACACTGATAAAGTCACCAGCTAATCCAATCGGCTGTGGCAATTCGTCTATTTCAATACCTAATGAACATAATATTGGTAATATTTTTTTAAAAAAAACAAATAAAAATATTTACTCTTAATTTGGGCGACTTCTCCCTGTGGTTGTACCAAAACTTTATCGCCGACTCTAAGCTGTCCCGTTTCAACTCGTCCAACAATTGAAAATCCTGATCCTGAACTTTTAAAAACATCACTAATACATAACCTTAATGGCTTAGAAATTGCCCGTTCTGGTGGTTTAAATGAATCTAAAAATAAAAATTTATAATTCAATTCTGTTTTGAAATATCTTTAATATATTAGGCTACTAACCAATAACATCCATTAAACAAGGACCATTATACCAACGGGTAAGTAATGATTCATTTGCTTTTGTAGCTAAATTTTCACCGCTTAATCCAGAGCATGGTACAAATGTAATATCAGATTCTTTATAACCGGCTTGTTTCAAAAACAGTCCAAGTTTTGTTTTGATCTCCACAAATCGTTCTTCAGACCAGTTAACAGTGTCCATTTTATTTACAGCAACACCGAGTTGAGTAATTCCTGAGAATAAAAAAACATTTTGCATTTTAAAATGCAAAATAATTTTCTTGTTATTTACCTAGAGACCGGATTAAGAGTGCATGCTCTCGTGTCTGCCCTCCACTATCAAATCCAGTTTCAAATTCTCCTTTAGTTGCATCTACAACTAACATAGTTGCATCAGCCTGAGAAGCCCCTATAAAATCACCACATAAATAAAACAATTTTCAAATTTAGTTTTAATCTCTTAATGTGTTAATTTTTAATCATAAATTCACGTATGCATTTTAATATTCTATTTTTCTAGGACTTAATATGCCACTAATAAAATAATGACACGACTTACATTAATTAATTGATTTCATTCTATAGATTAAATAAGTTATATTCATCTCTATTGGCTATTATTAAGTTATTCAAGTGATTCAAATTCATTAATCAATGAGAAGAAAAAAAGATCTGCATAGAATTTAAGTAATTTTTTACCTGTAATCATATTTGGTATAAAATCTTTATGTCCGGGCGCATCTAGCAAAGTAACATCTTTAGTTTTTGTTTCAAATTTCAAATGACCTACGTCCATTGTAATACCACGGTTTCTAATGTTACAAAATATATAACATTATAAAAATAAAGCACCATATAACACATTATATAAAAAATTAATAATTACCTTTCTTCAGCAGTTTCATCTAATACCCAAGCATAGACAAAACTCTGTTTACCCAACTTTCTACTTTCATGCTCATACTTTTGAATGGTCCGCTGCTGTACATGTCCTAATTTATATAGTAAATGTCCCATTAATGTGCTTTTTCCTGCATCGACATGACCAATTATAATTAAATAAAGTTGATCCTTGTGAATGGATGTTGATAATTCTTTATTGTCTCTAACTTTGTTGCTCCTGTTAAAAATTAATTAAATATTAATAATTATTAAATTAAACTATTTATCAACTATTTAATACTTGGGCGAATTCAATTTGCGATCTACGCGTGGTGATCCTAAACGAGCATTTTGAGGAGATCGATTGCGAGGTGTGGCCGCTGGTGAGCATATGGGTGTGCTAAAAGGTGTTTGTTTAGGTGTAACAATGAAGTTCTTATTTTTTGAACCTGAAAATAAATCATGAATAATTTTAATACCTACCATAAGTTTGACACATTCAACTATGAATTACAGTAAATGTACGGACAAATAAATGAAAAATTAAATAATAGTAGAACATTTAAAATCATTAATACAAGCATACGTTTCACTTTTTTAATATTTGTTGCTTTAATTGAATTATATACTTGGAATGCATACAACAATACTCTATTCAAGAAACAAAACACAGTTGGTGACCAACTTGTTTGCAGGGGCGTGGTAGTAATACAAGGCAAGTAATAGATCACTCGGTGGTGAGAAGCAGATGTTGCCTGACTGCCACAGATTGTTTCTAAAAGTGAACAAAGTATAGAGCAACCCACCCCAAAAATGCACTTTTCATTGAAATTGGTATCCTATGACTACATATAATATATATTTTCATATATATATAATTAAGTATAGTAAACTTGATTGTCCATGGTCTCCCATGGAACTGTACAGTACTAAAAATAGTGTTTATGTTCGTTGTATAATATAAAATCATTACGGTGGTTACATTATATACAGGGATATCTCAAAAACTTGAACATCATAAGTCAAATTTTTGATCACTCAAAAGAATGTCTTGGCCTCAGCATTTCGATATATACATACAATTTTTTGTCCCTGTGCTGATTTGAGTTATTGTGGTTTCATTAATATACCGAAATTAGGTATACGCATGTTTAAAAAAAATTGTAATGTATACTTATCAAATTTTCTTTAAATAATATTTAATATCACATAATGTAATTTTATTAATAATATAACAATAACACTTTTGATCTAATTTGTATTTTGCAGATTAACCACAGAATTTGTTTATCCCTGTTTGCCGTGCTATCCTATTACAAGAATAATCAAGAGTGTATTGTATATATTAGAAAGTACATTTAAAATAAAATACTTTTGTAAAATGAGTGAAGTAGTATTAAGTATTGCAAAAATAGACATGTGAATTGCAATTCTCTACTATATATTTATATATATATATACCGTCAAATGGGGTAACATTAGCCCTTAATGACAACATTGGCCCATAAGTAGGAAAAAGTTTAATTATGAGATAACAGCTGAACTATTTAACGTAATTTCTTCAAAACTGTATCAAACTGCAGGTAGGAGTAGTGGTCTCAATATGTAACGAATTGTATGTAAACGATCGTTCACAACTTCATTTAGTAAAATTGATAAAAACTGTTATCAAATAACGAATAAATTACAACATTACTACTTTTGTGTCAACCAAGTATCATCCGACGTTAAAAATCTTCGGTAAATTTTTATTATGTACAAAAATTAGTATAGAAATAAGATATGGTGGTTTGAATATAATTACTTTATTAACATTTTGTACAATCATTCATTATCATTTTGGTCCAACATTGTCCCATTATTTTGTGTAACTTTGGCCCAGAACTAAGTTGGGCCAAAGTTACCTGACGCCAATATTCTTTAAATTTTTTTGACGTTAAGACTGTCAACTTTGATTACTGTGGCTTTTAATTTTATATAGGTACGTTTTATTTGTTTATTTTTGTTTTTTTCAATACTTTAAACCTGAATCATTTTTTATTATTTAGAAAAAATGCCGCGAACTCAAAGAAAACGTCTTGGATCAAGACAGTACGCAAATTATTCTGCGGAAATGTATAATGTATATTCTTGAGTGATTAATAACTTTGAGACTGAAGTTTGTTTTTTTATTATTTGATTGTATTAGCTTTTAACTTTAAACAGTTAAATTAAAGAGGTTTTTTGTTATTATTTTATAAATTTGTTATAAATTGTTTTTTTAATACTTTAGTTTCTTTAGGAGGTTACCTAAACTCTAAATAATTTTATAATGTTGTATATTCTTAAGTAATTCATAACTTTGAGACTGAAGTTTGTTTTTTATTTTTTTTATTAGGTTTAAAACATAAATTGTTAATTTTGTTTATAAAAAAAAGGTTTTTTATTATTTTTAATCAAATAAATGTTGATATTTTGATTGCTTTAATATTTATTGTATACTAGTTTACTATAACATTGGCCCAAATCATAAATAACACTGTTTACAATGAATTTACTGGTGTGGGACATAGTTACCCTAATTGCAGGTAACATTGGCCCAAATCATAAATAACACTGTTTACAATGAATTTACTGGTGTGGGACATAGTTACCCTAATTGCAGGTAACATTGGCCCAAATTTTTGAAAAAAAATTGTAGGTTATTCAAGTGTTGAAATTTCAAAATGACTTATAATATAAAGAAGTTGATTCATATTTTAAAAGAAAAAAATATAAGGTAACCAACTTTTACAAAAATGTTACCAATATTCACCAAAATATATAAAAAAAAGCGAAATCTGGGCCAATGATACCCCATTCTACGGTATATATATATAAATATGTGTGTACCTGAAATAGATGCATTTCCAAAACCAACAATAATGTTGTCTTTATTTTTTGATGAAGAAGCAATAACAACAGAAGGAGGCCTACTCAATCTTCCCTCAGCAGGTTGCTGGTCCTTTACTTTTGTACCACCTACATAATTTGTTATACAATTATAATTATAATAAATAGAAATAATTTAATAAATGTATTAATTGAATAATATTTAATTTACTAATTTTTGAATTTATTATTTGATCAACAGTTTTATCAATGTTAAACTCATTATTAATCAAATGTCCTGCTACAACATCCTTGGCAAGTTCAAAGCCCAAAACTTCTGTTACTCTTTGTAAACATGAATTTACTTTGGCATCAGTTAAGTCTTGGTCCGAATCAAACTTGGATTTGTGATTAATTAAATAAATAGCTAAAATAGTATTCAAAATTGATTAAAATTGAAAATAAATGTATGTAAGATCATTAATAAATACCATCACTTGGAGAAATACAGTCATCTTCAAATGAATTTGAATAATCATCATCATCGTAATATTCATCTGGAAATATTTACATGGATAAGTAATAAAATGTTTCTTTAACTAGGTAGCTAGAATTAATTTTTATTCTTGAAATTATAAATTATTATTGATATCTAACAGAGAATAATGAAACATAAATTATTTTATGGGTACCTAAGTAAACATTTATTATATCAAGAATTTTCCAATTTTTTTTTGGTTTCTGTTCAATAATATAGGTTGAAATAATGAATAGCTACTGTATATAAATAAATTAAATACAACCTATAATGAATCAAAATAAAATGTCGTAAGGACCTTTTATCCTTGGTGGCCACTTATAAAATATATTCAACAACATACAACAAAAATTCTCAGTGTTCATGTAAGCAACACAGTTTGTAAGTACATAAACATTTTTATTTATTTATTTGGATTTCATAGTTCTACATCCACATTGTGAAACACACAAGCCGATGCAAGATTTCTCAAATACATATGCAAAACTGTTAGTACATCAATCCTATATTTTTAAATCAAAATAATGATGAGTACTGAGTAAGTGGCCTCAAAGGTTTACCGAAACGTCCTCAAAAAGTATATTGCAAAACCAATTCAAAGATTTGGCTAATGACTGCAGACGAGCACCGAGTTCCTGGGTATAATAAATCCGACAGCGGTCACTATCGAAAGAAAGTTTACCATCGGAATATTGCGTGGTCCGTATGTTCCTGTGGCGAGCCATTTTAATAGTCTGCAAACAATACCACACTTGGTACTTCTCTGGCCCACGACCGCGTCTTAGACACTAGATCTTTGCGTATGTGGTACTCGGCACCCGGTTGGTATGTAGTAGCCAGTAGTCGTCTTCACCAGACAGACATTTGAAAAGGAAAATTCTCTTATTTCATGCCAGGTAAACAGTAAATACGACCGATATAATGGGACAGTATTTGAGACTTGAGTTCCGTAGTCTGCACTCTGCACGTCCGTGCAATATTTCGATTTTACACTTAAGCAGCTCCGTTTCGTTTGAAGCATACATTAATCTTGGATAAAAAATAAGAAGAGTAGCACAGAATAGAATAAGATTACTCTATAGTTCAAAGGCCGAACTTGATTGTGTTATCAGATAAAAGCTCTCGATTACAACAACACTGTTAACAGCATAGATAATATATATATATAAACATCTGCGGCTAGGACACGGATTTCTAAGTAGTACAGAAGTATATATTATATGGTAGGGAGCCTTAATAATAAATGATAAATATTATTAAGGCTCTCTAGTATATGGTAGAGAAATATATTAATAGAAGTCTGTGGGCTGTATAGAATATTCCTACTCTATGCTTTTGGACACCACAACGTAAATAGTACGGTACTACGGTTTGGAGTGTTTGCCGTTTGGACGTGTGGTCATTTCCAATCTTTTATTTAGAAATTGTTGAGTCGTAATTTGACGGCATTTGATGTGGGCACTGTCCGCCAGGAGCGCTATGAAGGCTGATTTTTGAAATAGTTCTGTGTAGTGTGTACTTTATAAATACTTATTAAAACCACATAATAATTGAAATATGGTATAACAATACAACAGATTTCTACATAATACAAACTAAATGAAATTGAATAAAACAAAATAAATGTCCATAGTTTATCTTATTTCGTGGTCAATAATTAATGTAGATACCTGTGTAATATAGTATATACCACGAATTAAAATATACTGGTCACTGGATGCCCAACGATATATGATAAGGAGCTCCTTAACTGACTTTCCAAAAGTGTAAAGATATACTAGCGCACCAGGGAAATTAAATGTATACTACTAGATTGACTATTTTAAAATATATATAATATAAAAAATATAAAATTATGATTTTTTTAAATGATTATTTTAAAGCATTTCAGCATTAATTAAATTCAAAATTAATTAAATTCGTGGTATTTACAGATTTGAAGTTAAATTATTTTATAAAAGTTAACACTAATATGATAACAAGCGCTAGATGTAGTTTGCAACAGCTGTTCTAGCAGGTTAGTTTGGGTCTAAGAAAAATCGGTGTTTATATAGGTCGTTAGGTATCCAGTATATTGTAATTAGTGGTACGTACTATGTACTATAATATTATTTCTATATATATTACGCAGATATGAGTCTGTTGTCTGTGGCACTGTGGCAGTAATCACTAATCAGCAGCTAGCGATCATGCCTGTTTATTTTAGTCATGCCTGTTTGTCTAGTCATGGTCGAACGTGAAAATACCCACTGTGTAAACTATTATTAAAGGTTTGTAAATCCTAAATATTATACTTAAAGACAAACAAAGTTTTCTCATTATTTGATTGGTTGTTTTACTAATAGTTTTAGTTAAGCCTTATCAAAAATTAGGGGTCAGACGTCTACATTAAATTCGATATTAGATAGGTCGAATTGATACTTACATTTTTTTAATATTACGTTTCCCAAAATCAAATAACTATCTTTGTAGTAAGTAATTGCGTAAAAGTCAACAACATTTTTAATGGCGGCATAACATAGGTAGAACTTTAATTTTATGAATTTTGTTCAAATCATTTTAAGTACCTATCTAACATTTCTGAAAATAAATTGAAGTAACTAAAAGTAGAAATAAAAGTAAAATTATAGACATCTCACTGGGACTAGAGTTTATCAATAGATTCTCTTACAAAAAACAACAGTTGTAGAATAACTAGGATTATTGGTAACAATTTTAAAACTGGTAAAGTAATGATTTTTAAAATGAGAAATGTACTAGGTATATCCACTGTGAAGTCAGTTTTTATTGAAATACATACCTAATTTGTTAAAATTATATACTGAAAACTTAATTCATACATTTATGTACCTATTGCGATAGGTACTTTTCTTTTTATTAAATTATAATACATTTATACCTATATCATTATTATCTTTGATAATTAAAGTAAAATACTGACCATAATTAAACCTTTGTAATTTTTGATTGAACATCAGTTTGAAATATACTGAATATCTTTCTAACATTTCCTTATGCACCTACTTATAGTATTATATGTTTACAAATTTAAAATGTATTATTTTACCATACGTACCGTTTTACCTTGTTTGAGGGAGGTTAGGTTTATCTGATTTTATACATTACATATTATTTTTTATCTATTTATCTGTAAAGTCACAGATAATATTTAATTAGGGACCTTAACATGGTACATTTTAAGATTGTATTGTCTGTATTTGTATAATTTATAACGTATTACTTATAACTCATCTTAGATAAAACATACTAAATATTTAGTGTTATTTCCTATGATATTTAATATGATAACCTATTTTATGTTACAGATAATTTCTTCAAAAAATGTTTCTTTGGGATTGGGTTACCGGCGTCCTGGGATATTTAGGTGAGTAATATTTTATTTCCTACTATTTATTGTTTTTGATACCTATGTGATGATTTATTAGGCAATGAAATCGCATTAATGTGTTAATTTAACGCTGTGGATATACACCCACAATTGGTTTGCACCCACATTTAATTTAACTCAAATAATATAGATACTTTATATCCATGTGTACCTATGTGATTCCAATAGTTCATTAATTTATTATATTGATAATATATCAGTATTAAATCAAATTCTGTAATTTTTCTATTATCACTGAATAATATGATTACAAAATAAATCAGTTAAATTTTGTGTGTTCATATTATTTTTTAAATTCAACTTAATCAATTATAATATGATTTTACAGGGTTATGGAAAAAATCAGGAAAATTACTATTCCTTGGTTTGGATAATGCTGGAAAAACTACTCTATTACATATGTTGAAAGATGATCGTTTAGCACAACATACTCCAACATTGCATCCAAGTATGAAACTGCTGTACAAATATATTATATGTATGATATTTTTATACTTTGATAATTTAATATTTGACTATTTATTTTATAGCATCTGAAGAATTATCTGTTGGAAACATTAAATTCACAACATTTGATTTGGGTGGCCATTCTCAAGCAAGAAAAGTATGGAAAGATTATTTCCCTGCTGTGGATGCAATTGTATTTTTGGTAGACGCCTGTGACAAATCTAGAATTATGGAAAGTAAAAATGAACTAGATTCATTATTGCTCGATGAATCCTTATCTAACATTCCAGTACTTGTTCTTGGTAACAAAATTGATAGACAAGGTGCCTTGAATGAGACAGAATTAAGAACTTATTTTGCATTGAACCAAACAACTGGAAAAGTATGTAAACTATGACATTTTGTATGTACAATAAACATATTAACATGTTCACAACCCTGGAATTAATTAGAGTAGCTTACAGTCATACACCTACAAAGAAATGGACTGATAACAGAGATAGCGGTCCAGTAGCCAACATTGTTAGAAAAATAGGATACACCTGGGGTAGTTAGGTCCCATTCTTTTACATGAGCATAGGCTATCCCTTTCTAACAATTTTGCCTATTGGCAACCTATATTATTGTATGGAGGATGTACAGTCAATATATGTTAAAAAGTCCATGCTTACAGACTACAGCATACCCCTGAAAATATTATAATTTTAAAACGTATCAATACTTACTGTATCTGGTGGCCTAACCGGGTGGTATGAACCAGCTATTAAAATAAACCAGTCTCTAAATCCTATTTTAAATACATATTGACCATGTCTCATATATTATGTGACAACGTTTTAAACAAAGACTCATCCTTGTCACTTATACTAACGTGGCTGTGAGTAGTAGTAGTAGTGTAAATAATTTATAAGCTAAACAAAATGTATTTATTTACTTCTCTAAATCATCATTTTGATATTTCTTTTTTTCACTCCCGGCTCCTTGCAAATTTTAAAGAACTGTAGATACCAACTTATCACAAACAATTGAGAGCGTATCATCGCATTGTTGGTTTTCTCTCTTTTACCAACTCACAATATAGCAAATGTACATTCAGCAGAACCAATGTTGTGTTGATGACTTTAATATTGGAGTAAGTTGATCTATTATCAAACTTAACGTTAAGAACACAATCTGTGTTAATACGTTGGATTTTTTACCATATTATAATTTTTCTTTGGTTCAGTTGCATAACAATTTAAATATTGTAAAAAGCCAATGATTAAAAACAGATAATATGCTTAACTTTAACTTTGTTGATAGGTTAATTGTATGTTAAAGCTAACAACACAAAGATTGTTTTTGCTTATGTAAATCTGCTATGGTGCTCATGCGACTGGGAAAACTAGGAGTGTGCTGCTGTCCCTATGATAATAGTGAGATTAATGAGAATTCAACTAATAGATATTCAGTATAAATTGCATCACCTTAATTTTACATTTATAATAATTAACTGTAAAATATTTTTCATGTTCACATGTACACTTATTAAATAGCGTTTTTGTACTTCTAAATACTCAATGACATATAAAGTTAAAATTTAGATATGTCATCAAGAACCAAACAATTTAAAAGTTTCGTCAGACTACACTTTATATCTAAATTTAAATTTATTTAAAGTGGTTTATTTATTATGAAATAATTAATTGAGTACTGTATGCAAAAGATTTACGTTGGTTGCATTACTTCAGATTGCTTTAATATCTGTTGTGATTACTATTTATTATTTAATACTATTTACTATTTAGTATCATCATTGTTTCTTTTCGTGTTATCTAATATTGATTATTTATTTTTAGGCTAAAGTACCTAGATCAGACCTTCCAGGTCGTCCTTTAGAAGTATTCATGTGTTCTGTATTGAAACGTCAAGGTTACGGAGAAGGGTTCAGATGGCTGGCACAATATATTGATTAATATCTGTAATATATACATATTTTAATTTTTAAATTCATTCTTTTTTTACTGTTCTCTCTACCAGAAAGGTATACAATTTAATGTAACATGGCTAAACTCCCAATCAAATAATTTTGTAAAAATAAATTTCAGTTTTTATGTTGATAATTTTACTGAAGTAAGATTTCATATACTTTTTTTTGTCTTGTAGGAGGTATGAACTCTGCTGTTAGGTCTTGTTGGTATGTAATCATTTAGTGATTATCAACTAAAAAAAGGTACAAAATGTGTAGACAAAACTGTATGTTGGTTTTTGTCTAATTACGTTTGAGGTATGTAGGAATTGACAATAGTTATAAATTATTATACATTTAATTAATTGCTCACTTAAGAGAGCTAGTGAAATAAAAAAATCTATGTAACCTACCTTAGTACCTTCCTATTTTTTTGAAACAATTAAGAAAACGGTATATTTATAATATGTAGACTAGTTTCAGCGACAAAATTGATTTTGTTAGGTATATACTTTGTCCTAATTCAAAAATATTAATCATAGAAGCTTACACTATTACTTAAATTATCATTGGCTATTCACAATTCAACTTTCAAAGTTGTTGGTTATTTTGGGAATCTGGAATTTTTCAACTTTTTTAATTTTTATTTCAATAAATATTGATAGAAATAATGACTAGTCTTAAAAAGCTTGAAAATGTAAGGTTCACCAAACATTACTCTTATAGCAATTTAAACATAAATATAGAGAATTTTTTTATTTAAACCTTGAAATCAAATTTTTGGCGAATTGGATCTGAAAAATAACGAATTTTCCGTAAACGATTTTAATTATTATGTTGGAATTAAAAAAATATATAATATCAATATTAATCGTAACTCGACCTGAAACTTTTTAGTATAATGTGTATACTTACTTACATATTATTTTCTATATACAATTCAAATTTCAAAATATTTAGACTAATTTTAAGCTGTTTGTGTACCTAAATCCCTATTCATATTTAAACCTTAACCACGGTACCTACATGTCGGCATTAATTTTTAACTTTAGAAGTTTATAACGATGTGTATTGGATAATTATAAAAATTATTATACAACAATATAACTTTTGTCAAAAATTGGTTCAATGTATAAGTAGGTACCTACTGCACTTACTCACTGGTAGATGGATAGATCCTGACTCATATTCTTTTTTCAATAGATATATTTAATGATCAAATAGTGTAGATGTGCAAAAAAACATTAAATCAACACTGTATCTATACCGTTTTACTATTGAAAATATAAATGCATTATTAGGAATTATAGGTAGGGATAATTTCCTATAAATATAAAATGTCGTTAGAAATAGGCTGAGACGCCAGTACCGCTAAGAATTGTTTTGCATATTGCATGTTTAGTTATTGATCATTGAATTCAAATTTAACACAATCCTATTTACTATATTTACCTATCCATTGAATGGTGATGGCTGATGAGTGATCTAATCAATGATTTTACCAAAATAATGAGAATAAAAATACTAACATTACAAAAAAAATTTCCTAAAATATTTTATATAGGAATTATTAATTCCAAAACAAGGAAAATTGAGTGTTTTGATGGTTTTTGATCATAAATTCCAAATTAAGTCTGAGTGACTTTTTTAAAGTACCAATAATTGTAAAATGTGGTTCAATGAGTGAAGGGGCATCACAACCCCTTAAACCACATCTTCCCCCAGGCTTTGACTCTGGTTGCAGTCTGACCTACGGGTCAAAATTATTAATAAAAAAAATTACATTAAGTTGAGTTATTGGAGTATACTTACTTATATTTGGCATCGCAAAAGTATCTAATAAATCTGACAAGCAAAAATAAAATACAACAAAGTCTGGGAGTATCCAGCATTCGGCATTCCAACAATATAGATACCTACAACAAGTTGCCAACAAATTTGTTGAACGTATTTCATTTTCATAAGTGTCTGTTATAATAGCTGAGCTGCTATCTTTAGAAGGGTAATAATATACTATTGTACATAATAAATATAGTTCTATAGATATGTAGTCCAGAAGGATACCTGAAAATATAGGAACGATTCAATCGGTCGCTGTGCTGTGCTTGGAAGTGGCTGCAGCAACTGCAGTTGATCAGTGAACGTGCATTTGTCGTCCAGTGACGGTAGTCGGGTCGATGTGTGTGGCGGGCTACCATAGCTCGCAGTCTCGCAATGTTTATGGATTATAGTCCTTTGAGCCTTGGTATCAGCCACGGTCAACTGAATCGTCGAGGAATATCCGTGATTGAACCCCTAGGGCGACAACCCCGTTCAATGAGTATTATCACTGTCAGTACGCGCCGCGACGGCATTTGGCGCTTTCCATTGAAATTTCCCAGGTGGCCGCAACAGTAGTGGATCGCCCCTTCAACGAGTTGCCCCTGACGTGCGTCGAATGACTGGTGGTGGTGCCGTTGCTGCTGATGCTGGTGATGATGATGACGACACTGAATCATATCCATCGTTAGCCGGGTTATTCGATGACCACCATTCGTCACTACATTGCTGTACTTATAAATTATAATTCGTGATTTAATGTACGGACCGTTATGATGGCATGTCCTGCTGCAGGATGTAATTTTATTAAAGTTATGAAGAAATATAGGTATCTGGTATACACATAGTCAAAGAGACCGGGAGCAGCTGAACTCCATACGAAGCATTTTGCAGAAGCAATACGTCAATTATACTATACTACATTTATTATACGCGCTCGACACATTCTGCATAAGTTGTACTTTTTATTATAAAATCCTATTTTGGAATTTTTTTCTGAGCGTCGGTAATATTAAAAGTATTAGAGAATTGGAAATTGATTTGTATAGAAATTAGTCGATTTTACTGCGATCTTTCATTTCTATACAAAAAAAGTTGTGTAAATGCATTAAATAGTGAGTCGAGAGCAAAAAGAAAACTCTGTTAAGTCACTTTAACTCATCGTATCCTATGATAGGAAAAAAAAATAAAATTTTTGATTATTTTTTTGTTAATATCAATAGTCAAGCCATCATTTAGGTGGGATTGATAGCTGTAGTTAGGAAATTCTAGCTGAACTCTATACTCAATTCGCAAAATCTCGTCAGATCTCGAATCGAAATGCGGCCGACTGTAAATAACAATACCATTGTACACCAACAAACAACTGTAAGTCGTGACACTGATTTACCGCACATTAAGCTCTCCAGTTCGTTTCACGACAGTGAAGACTGAAGAATACATCATGTCCATACAGATAACATTTGTTTTGCATGATTCCTTGTCCGTGAGGCTTTTTTTTATATGTTGTACTCTGCCGGTGTCGTGACTGGGTAGAAATTGGTGGAGTTGTTCGTCATTTAGTCATCACTACCCGAGCCAATTGAGACCAACGACCAGAGTGCGCAGCTTTTATGTGGCCCACCACATATTTACTCCCCCGTAGACACTAGACATAATAATTAATAGATTATTATTTATAATGTCTATGGACTATGGTCCCCCGATGGCGAACAAAATAGAAACGATACTGAAGAATTTGGTCCATGTTTACCTTAAGTCTGAACCATTGAGTAGTGCTAACAAGTAACAACTCTATGGTCTAAACACTCTAAACCTTGGAAACGAGCGTGTACAGCGTGCATTACGGCACTAGAGAGCCTATAGATAATAATATTTATTATTTAGGCTTTCTAGTTTCTAGTGTGCACCCACTAAAACAACAACTATATAAAACAACTAGATAACTGCGGACTGCATATACATTCCCACAGGATCATTGAAGTCGTGCTGCCATATGTGAACAAAGCAATGTTTACAAAATAACTCAATAGATAATATACCTTTACAGGCTATAATGCTATATATATTTTTATTATATATTTATATGGCAGAAATATTACGAATCTATGTATATTATCAAACATGCAATTTCGCCCTGTTGATATATGGCTGCTCGACTTCTACATATATTATCCGGTAGTCGGCTATCTAGTTGTTTTACATGTCTATGTGCTATGTGATACCTTAGAGACTAGAGTATCTACACTCCAAGATCTATAAAGAAGGTTAGTTAAGGTTCTATTCTCTTTTTAGATCTTGTCTACACTCTACAGAGTACAGTGTACTGTGTACACTAACATGATATTAGACCCCAGACTTTAGTCATTAATGTATAGATTGACCGTCCTCCATACCATATTATACTATAGGTTGCTAAGTGCCAATACTGTCAGAAAGAGATGGTCAATGCCCGTGTAATAAAATGGAACTTAACCATAGTCATCTAAATACATATATTTATATGTCTATGAACCTAACTACCCAAGGTGTACGCTATCTTTTTCTAACAATGTTGGCCTCTGAACCTCTTTCTCTGACACCGGTTCACTTCTTTGGTATTTGGACGTTTCCCCCATGAAGATTTTAGTGGTACTAGATGACTGCATTAAGACTGAACTAAGACATTTCCCCCTGAATCAATGTATATTTTTTTATACATGTAATATTTTATTGGATAATAGGTTCTATGATTTTACCCGAAGTATAATAATATGATCGTTGGTCATCTATCGACTATCAATTATCATCACGTTAAGGATTCATTACCCAATTTAATGGGTAATGATTGATAAACCAAAGGCATGTAAAAGTATTATTGAATTATATTTATACATTAATTTAACAATTTGTGTAGGAGGTAATTATTTAATGAAAAATTTCGTAAACAGTGCCTATATTTATTTATTTGTAATTTAAATTTGTTAATTTTTTTATATTTTTAATATTTATATTAGTGAATTTTGAACTGGCAATAGTGTTATTATAACGAATTATTGAATTATATTAATACATTAATATTTATTTATTTATTTAATCATTTTTTAAATTTATTGATTTATAAATTGCATATTATTGCTTAATATTTTTACTATTAATTTTTTTCTCCTGGGTTGACGTCCAATGAATCGGGGGGGGGGGGAGTCCTAGAGTAAATTTCTTTATACGCCTATAATGACAAGACAGTGCCCCATCACGTGTTAGACCCGGTTTGCTTACCCGTATTCAGAAAACGTTTAGTGCCACATCGGCGGGGTACGCGGTGTCGGCTTGTTTACCATTCCAATATTTCATGTAGGGCCACGCCCCTCCTGGTGTTCATGTTCAAGGTCACGATCGCCCGATTCGGCCAATTCACATAGTGTCATACGACATACACTTATACCCGTAAACCTATACACTTAGTTATTTACGTTTAGTTTGTAGGTTGTAGGTACCAAGTTCTATGGTCACCTAGAAAGCCTAGATAGTACATTATTAAGGCCTATTATCTAGGCTTTCTAGTCATACCCCTGACTTCATGATTTTGGATCAATGCAGCATCCGTAAGGACCATAAGGTTAATATTTATGACAGCAGTTGCAGCTGTCTGGGGACAACAAACGTCAAATAATGATAATAGTGATAAATAATAACACAAAGACAACTGTGGGCTCCCTGATAGTGCTGATAGCGCAAACTTATTACTTAAATCATTAATTATGATATTGTCATTAATGTGTATAATAGAAATATAATCGCCCGACCGCCGTACACTTTTATACTTCTCAATTTTCAATGTTTTCAGTGCTTAGCGGTGTAAGGTGTAACTACTTATTCACGTTGATAACTGCACGATTTGCACACACATATCACATATTAAATTTGACACATTAAAAAATAGTATACGGCCATGTATGAAGTTTTCACCTACGGTCCGTATTAATAACCTTTATGCGACTGTCGTCCTTAGCGACTAACGAGTGAAGTAGGTACAAAGAAAACAATAATAACAATAAATATTGACAACGATTTTACACACTCATCGGAGTGTGCTACACACTGTCTTCTTGTCACTTGAAATTTACGTTTTTTTTTTTGTAGTTATATAACAGTAAATAATATCGTAATCGGACACCGCTGCCGCCTCCTCTCGGTAACATTTAACTACAAGTTGTGTGGGTGTGTGTGCATGTTGTGCGCACAAATGTAACATTCCACCAGAACCAGGACTATCAGCATCGCCAGGATGGACGAGTCTGGAGACGGTCTAGCCACGACTGGCAGCAAGATGGCCTCGCAGAGCTTCAAAGTAGTCCTGTTGGGTGAAGGGTGCGTGGGAAAAACGTCACTGGTACTTCGGTACACAGAAGACAAGTTCAATGACAGACACGTTAGCACACTACAGGTAGGGCTTTACGGTCGCCGACAATACGTAGTTGGTTACTGATGTTGCAATGATGTTATAATATTATAATCGTTTGGGATTCTTGTGTGTAACTACGTCCACTGATCGGTACAGGCGTCATTTGTCAAGAAAAAACTTAATCTCAATGGACGAAGAATAAACCTATCGATATGGGATACAGCCGGACAAGAGAGATTTCATGCCTTGGGGCCGATTTACTACAGAATGTCCAATGGTGCAATACTGGTTTACGACATCACAGATGAAGATTCTTTCCAAAAAGTAATATACCATCAGCACTATTAATTCAAGTATCATTATATTTAAGATCTATCCTTGAGTCTATTTAATTATTTATGGTTAGTATCAATCGTTATTACTTATTATTTAACATAATGTCTTATTATGTCCATCCCACAATTTGATGTGTCATACCCACTTCATAAAATTGTCTTGTCAAGTGGAAACTTTTTATACAATATTAACAACCATCAACGCATGGAATACTTTTTTTTCGGTAACGTAACGTTGATAGTATAACAATAAATATAATATTTATGTAGGTACCTTATCACTGTTTTATTTGTCTTAAATTATATACTTATTTTTAGTATCTACATATTCTACATATAATATTATTTATTTATTTATTATAGGTAGCATACAATTGGTTTATTTAGGTTCAGGTACTCCGACATTTTTAAAATAGTTAAAAATGTGTAAGTACCTACAAATAGTATTTATGAAACTTAGTGTTGAACCTGGCTATCTGCCTACTTTTGTATAATGTTGTAGATTATTGAACAATTTTAGTACTTTTATAAATATAATTTGCCAAATTTCTAAGTGACCTGGTATTTACAAAAAAAAAAAAAAAAGAAGTTATTTTATTATTTTGAATTTAAACTACTAATGTAGAATAATGATCAATACATTTGTATTTTTAAATTGACAATTACAATTTATAAATCCTACACTTCATGTCATGAAAAAATAGCAAATTAAAAATAATTTCACTGAGTGTTTATGTATACAACATAATGTCATAATATAATACATGTTTAAATAAATAAACAACTATAGGTAATATATATATATATTATATATGTAATTAACTGTTAATGAATTGTTTTGGTGTTATTTTATATTCAATTATTTGTAAATTTTAACTAAATTTGTTACTGTTTTCAGGTGAAAAATTGGATTAAAGAATTAAAAAAGATGTTAGGAAGCGAAATTTGCCTTGTTATTGCTGGAAACAAAATTGATTTAGAAAAAGATCGTACAGTTTCAGTAGAAGACGCTGAAAAGTAAAATTTGTGAACATTTATAAGTTTGACAAAATAATTAATTTTAAATTGTGTAATTTTGTAGTTATGCTAGTTCAGTTGGTGCTGTACATTTTCATACATCAGCAAAAATGAATTCAGGCATTGAAGAAATATTTTTAAGTTTGTGTCGTATGATGATAGAAAAGGCTGATAAACAAATTGCTGATAATTTAGTCACATTAAATCGGTCAGGAAGTGCAAGAAGAAGAACCATAATAATTGATGATGAGGACGATGTGCCATCCAAAGAATCGTCTCGTTGGTGCTGTAATAGTTAATTAATTGCATTTTGCCGTACTAAATATGGTTTAAAGATACCAAGATTCAAGTTTATTATATATATATATATTTTTTTTTGAGAAACCATTCTGTTCGTGATATTTTTAAATTTTTGAAAAAAATTATATTTTTTTACATTAGTTTATTTGCTTATAAATGATTTATTTACTTTTAGTTGATTTTATAAACTACTGATTAAAGCATTAATATTATTAGTTGTACATTGTTTTTAGAACACTACTTGCTTAGAAATTTGTTTTCAGTCTATAATGTAAGAAAAAATTCAACACAAATTGGTTTACAAGGAAACAGGATAAGAATTCTTAACCAGAATTGAAAGAAAATATCAGAAAAACATACTTTCACATTCACAGCCATATATGTCGACAGAAGTTGATGAATTTTAATGTCTTAAAAAAAAACTTAACTTGACATGATATTATATTAGTAGATATTCCTGACATCTGTTCTAAAAATACAAATTATATGGGTCTTTTCAATACATCTTATTCATTAAATTGGTGGTTGGTTTTAAATTACTCTACTAAGTACTAGATGCCGATATTTATAATGTATAATATACATAATTTTGTTGAAATTAGGAAGGTTAGAAATATCTGGGTTAAATTGAGGATATACAGTTTTACAGCTGACCACGACGTGCTAAACTAGGCTGCAAAAAATATTTTAATACTCTGTAAATTTATTTCAACATTTTATAATTTATTAACATTTTAATTAACTATGTTTATAAAATTATAAAATAAAACTATTAGATTATGGATATTATTTCCAAGTTTAAAATGTAAAGGAAATATACAGTGAAATCTTTAAATACCGAACACTGTTGCTCAAATTTTGTCGATTATTTATATACATTGTTTAGTTCAGATTGTAGTATGTATGTAGTTGGTTCCCAATAAAACTTCCGCTATTGGCAGGTAGGGGAGGTTTCACTGTATATTGTAATATATTTAATTTCATACAAACAGATACCTTACAACACCGGTATTTGTTGTATTTAGGGATTATGTACACATGTAATGGAAAAAATAAACAGGCGTAACAGAATAAAAACAAAAATATATATTTAAACATTTTTAAATGCGGTCAATTCTTTTTTTAATTTTCATTGTGTACCAAAATAAACATCCGCATACAACAGAACAACAAAATACAATAATTATATAAAATAGTATACACGAGGAAAAATGGTATATAGTATATACATTAAAAATATTAATTAATTTGTATTTATATAATTTAAAAAAAAAATAATAAAAATAAAATTTATTTAATCTTAAATAATAAAAATTTATGAAATTTGGGTTAGTTGTTTACAAGATCACTATTTTTTTTATCATTGCATATATATTAAAACCAATACAAAATATATATCAGATCTGTTGAGTGGCGAATAAAAAAAAAAAACCAATATAGTACAAATTACAATTAAATATAAGTACGAATTTATTATAAAAATAGCCTCTAGACAAAATGAATTAATACTGAATGCTAAATAAATATATATATGTGTGTTTATGATATGAATAAAAGCAGTTATTTTTGTAGGTATTTAATATTTAAATTAATTAGTCTAAGAAAAATTGTATCACTATTTTGAAAGTTTACTTATAACTCGAATCAAAGCACCATTCTCGTCTTTTAACCTCTGATTTTCTTGACGTAACTGTTCCATTTGCTGTAAAAATTAATAACATTAGTTATAGAACAAAAATCATAATTTTATTATTAGAATAAACAAATTCTGAATATTTAAAGAAAATCGAAATAAGCTTTCTACTATTAATATAAATGCTGTTAAGTTTAGCAATATTTTAAGCTAATGTTGTTGGTTTGTTTGAATTAATGCAAATTTTGCATTTTTAACTGTTAAGCATTTAACTGATTAAGCAGATTTATTTTAAAACAAGGTTTCAATGTTTGAACAAAACACAATAATAAGCTATAAATTAAAATCTAAAATAAATATGTAAACAAAAATCAAGTTAAACGAATTATGTTTTGAACATAGCTACATAATGTTTATTATCACTACGCAGTTTTAGAAACATTTTTAAAAACAAAACACAATTAGATTTAAAACTGTTTAGTTAATATTAGATGATAAAAAGAAGAAGCTACACCTGTACATTTTATCTCCATCATACAAACTTACATTAGAGCAAATTAAGTATGAATGAATCTATTATATGATGTCAGTTTCAATAATATGTCGAAATGGCCTATCGGCCTAAGAATATTTACTAGATCATCTCAAAGACATTTATTGATAATTTAATTTTAAAGTGAGCTGTGAGAGTTATACAACTATATAAAATATTACAATTTAAAATGCTCTTAACCCACTTTAAAATTCAAATAACAATAAAAACCTAAAAGATGCACTAGAAATTAGACTCTCTTTTAGATTGTATGATAGTATATTGATATACCAAATAACAGAATCAATACCAAAAAACTGGTTGGTTCCACATACTAAACAAGTGGGCAGTATTAATCATGACGTTTATAAAGTATGATCATTGAAAAAGCTCAAACAAGTTTTACACACATTTGATGAAACAAAAATTAATTGATTAGTAGACCAACTGGATTGGGAGTTCACAAACACACTGAGTATAAAAACAGCACACATCACAATTCAATGTCTCACATAATCTACATACATAAAAAAAAAAAATGAAGTGTTCGCATTATCAGGTATGAGTAAGTTTAGAAACGACTCTGGTAAGGGCTCTGTTCTCAGTTCGGAGCCGTTCATTTTCTGCTTTCAACTTTTGCAATTGCTAGATAACATAAACTCAAGTGTAAGCTCTAAATATTTCTAGCACAAGTAGCAACATTGATAATAAGTCTATTTTTATTTGTAGACTGGCCACGTTTGTTTTATTTTAATTCCCTCCATCGCCAAAAAAATAAAATACATAATTACCTTGAGTTCCTCTTCCATCTCCGAAAGTTTTCTCTCCATAGCCCGCCTTTCACGTTTTTCCGTTTCCGATAATGTCGTGCTTTTTCCGGCCTGAAATATACAATTAATCATCAACAACAATAATATTATTAACCACACGGTTCAGATTTGTTTGCAGTCATGTTTCTTACATTGGTAGACTGTTTTTCTATAGTAATTTTGGCTTCTAGTAGGTCTTCCTCAGTCTTCTGTAACTGTCGCCTCAATCGTTCGTTATCTACGACTACTTCTTCATACAACTAAATCGATACGGAGCAATGAACAAACCGGAAATCATTAAAAACGCGACGTATACTCACAGCTTTGTAATCGATTTCGCCGTTTTCAGAGCACGGACCGGGAGAATTTGCAGCACTACTGGGTTTACTGTCTAGTGATGACGATACTGAACAGAGCCGCGACGTTGGACTCGATTTGGTATCTCCGCCGCTCTAAAACCAATAGACAATAAGAAACAAGTAACAAAACAAACTAACAACAGTGAAATATTAACACGTTGCGTAAAACACTGATAACGATGACACACGACCACCGACCGATGACGATTTCGGGATTTTTCAACGAAATCGTTAGGGGTCACAAACATTTTTTTATGGAGAATCATTGGCACAACTTTCCTGGGAGGGGGGAGGGCTAACATTATATCAGCAGCACAGACCCTGACAATTGATCTTTTAAACTAAAATATGTTTTTTTTAAATTGGGGGGCTAAGTCCCAAGCCCCCCTAATTACGAATTGTGGAATACAAATCCCTAGAAATAAACCACCGACGAACAACCTGGAAAAAAGATCCAATACCCTAGGAAAAAAATCCCCTGACTGCAATATTACTTAAGACCACATGACAATTATTGGACAATTAATATTTTTAAAGACTAATAAGCGTAATTAACACATTATTTAATATTTATTTACAAATATATACTTTTCATTAAACAATTAATGTATGATGTATAACAAATAATTTTCAAACATTAACAATAATATTTTTTTATATTACGATATTGTCGATATTATCTATTAAAAACTCTTATAATATTTTCCTAATTTTTTCATAGCAACAATCTTAGGAAACAGTCTAGTAATTAACTGCGAGTAACTACTAACTACACTCATTAATCTCTGTTTGATACCTAATTATTTAAATATTATTATTGTTATTTGTATTATTTGACGTATCTTTCGATTATTCGAAATATTTGTAAATGCTATATTTTTAACTGTGAGTACCCACATTCAAAATATTGTTGCATAATTTTTAATTTTTAATTTTATTATCTCATAAATAATATTGTATTTATAAAGTAAAAATTGTAAAAACGTCTCCAAATAATTATATTTAAATTATAATCGAAATAATATAGGAAACGTAATATTTTTTTTCAGGTATTTAATTTTGTTACAGAATTATACAAAATATCACAATATAAAACATATTAGTACTAAATATAATTTTTAAATCATTTTCATATGGTTGTGAGTAATATTGTAGTCTGGGGATTTTTTTTCCTATTACCAATTACGACTATGGGAAGAATGGGGAGTAATCTTTAAATTGTCTTAAATAAAATTATAAAGATTAAGATAAAATATTATATTTAAATAGATCAACCTAGAATTAAATAATAATTAATAATAATGGTTCAAATATCTGTTTTACTCGAACATTTAAAACGTGAACAAGAATCGGGATGCTGATCAATTTTGTATCGTTTTTTGGCACATCATAGACAATGATATCTAAGCTAAAAATGTGTTTCAATAATTTAGACATACGAATCTCTACAACTAATTTTTATTTTGCATTTTTTCGAGGTTATTTTGGTTTTGAGGTCACTTTTGTGACATTTAAGATCATATTTTGAAGTTTTAGAGACATTTTTTACTTTAGGTTAACCATAGAGCGAAAAACTAAGAGTTCATTATTTGCCATTATAACCTATATTTTTTATAATTTCTACAAACAAAAAAAAAACGTAAACTTATTACGTAAACTTTTTTTATGTACATAGAGTGTACCAAATATGGATCTTAAAACTGAAAACTTTTTTACTACAAAACGCAATAAACTAT